CCGCCTTGTCCCAAAAAGAGTTTGGCATCGTCGACAACTGGCTTCGCAGCATCAAGGACTTGTACATTGAGAACGCCCGCAAGTTCCTCGGTACGAAACAAGTGCACGCTCAACCACTGGGCTAAGTGAGCGAATTAGACTGCGACGAAGCCACCAAATCGGAGCTTCTCATCGAGGAGAACATCGCGCGCAGCGTCTACAACGTCTGCCACACGCGCATCGTGCAGAACGCGTGGGAGGCTGGCCAGCAGCTCAGCGTCCACGGCTGGTGCTACCGGTACACACTCGGTGCTGCTACCACTGTCCTTACGCTGCTTGCGTAGCCTTAAAGATGGCATCATCCGCGACCTCGGCGTCTGCGTCACGGGCATGGACCAGGCCGAGTCCATTTACCGCCGCATCCTTAACAAGACCAAACCCGAAACCTAGCTGCCGACATTCTCTGGACAAATAAGCTGCAACAAGGATGGAGTGCATTTCGATATCGCGACATATAGACTCACTCGATACGAGCTACACTAGTAGATGAACTAGTTTGGTAGGAAGGGTTCGTAGGAGAGATGCACCGAGGGAGGTTCGAGCCGTAGCATCTGCCGTCGCTGCTACCGCGATGGATGCGTCCAAAGCGCTGTCGATTAGCGCGCAAACTGGACGACAATCGTTCAGGCTATGGATAGATTCGCTGGCGGTTCAGAGCTATTTTCATCGACCGCCATTTTGGCAGCCATCTTGCACTGTTGTTGGTCAACGTACGGGGCCGCCACTCTGTGTTTCGTCGCCTGGACGAGACGCAGGACCGGACACGATAGCGAGCTCACCGCCGCACCTCCCGCGCATCTCTCTCGACCCAAGCGTTAACGCGATCCGCGCCTCGTTGGACCAGACGCCGTCGGCCCCTGCACCAACGCCGCACTTTACCATATCCGCCGACCCCATTTGGCTCTCGCCGCCGACACGGCCACCGACGGAAACACCGTCGTTCGCGGTGGCCGCTTCGCCCCGACCAGCGCCGCGCAGTCCGCGCCACTTACGCCCACGCACCGAAGTCGAGACCGGCGAGGAAGGCATGGCGCAGCTCCTCGAGCGCAATCGGCTCTGGGCCGACGACATGCGGGCGCGCGACCCCAGCTATTTTTCCAAGCTCGCCGACACGCAGACGCCCGAGATTCTCTGGATCGGCTGCTCCGACTCGCGCGTGCCGGCCAACGAGATCTTGAATTTACCGCCCGGCGAGGTCTTTGTCCACCGCAACATTGCCAACCAAGTGAGTACGTCCTCTCTGGCTCACGACAGTATATTCATGGTCGAGTCTAGTCTCGACGGACCTCAACTGCTTATCGGTGATCGAGTATGCGGTCAAGTACCTCAAGGTCAAGCACATCATCGTGTGTACGTTCCCATTCGCGTCTGAATCTGAATCTCCAATCTCAAATGACACCTTGCAGGTGGCCATTATGGCTGCGGTGGTGTCAACGCCGCCCTGTCCCAAAAAGAGTTTGGCATCGTCGACAACTGGCTTCGCAGCATCAAGGACTTGTACATTGACAACGCTCGAAAATTCCTCGGTACTGCCTGCGCCACAGTGCGCTAAGAGCTCAGATTTTGCTAGACTGCGACGAGGCCACCAAGTCGGAGCTCCTCGTCGAAGAGAACATCGCGCGGGGCGTCTACAACGTGTGCCACACGCGTATCGTGCAGAACGCATGGGAAGCCGGGCAGCCGGTGAGCGTCCACGGCTGGTGTTATCGGTGCGCATTCCCTTTGCTCAACTATCGCAGTCGTGTCTAATATCAACTTGATAGACTGAAAGACGGCATCATTCGCGACCTCGGGCTTTGCGTCACGGGCATGGACCAAGTCGAAACCATCTACCGGCGCATGCGCGAAAAGACAAAGCCGGCCGCGTAAAGGCGACAAAAATCAAGAAAAAATTGAAGTGTCAAGTGTAAACGCGCTCCCATTGGCGCGTGCAGGATTGATAGTTAGATAGTACGAACACGGGGCTTACGCAATCTTTTGGCCCGTGAGCTTCTCGAGGCGGTTGAGGATGTGCTTGCCAAAGTTGAAGCGCTTGAGGTGGCTTGCCTGTGTCTTGATGATGACCACCATGCGCTCGCGCTCCTCGGCGTCGGCGACGTCGATGAGCTTTTGCACGACGTAGTTGGCGTACTGGTCCTTCATCATGACCTGCAGCGGGCACTCGCCGCGGTCGTTGGCCTCCATCACATGCGCGACGATCACGTGCAGCTGGTGGACGCTCGCGTACATGAGGCATTTCTCAATCACGTTGCTCGCAAACTTGTGGTAGCTGAAGCGCACAATGTCCGGGTACACCTTGTTGATGACGTGCGACCGCTCGGCCGGTTGACCATGCTCGAGGACGTGTTGGATGACGTAGTTGCCGTACTGGTCTTCGACGAGGAGGCAGCAGCAGTCGTGGATCTCCTTGAGGATCGGCGCCATTTGCGCCTCCGTGCAGTGCTCGAGGACGCGCTGGATGACGCGGCAGCCATAGGGGTGCGTCGCGAGCGAGTAGACATTGCCGAGGAAGGCCGAGAGGATGAAGCCACCGACGTCCAGCGCCCGCGGCGTCGTCCACGGTAAGATCTCGATGCATTTTTGCACGACGTGGTTGCCGTTCTGGTCCTTGACGCACTTGAGTACATGGCCCGTGAGCTCGCCGATCAAGTGGAGCTTCTCGGGCATGTTTTTGAGCTCGAGCGCCTTCTGGATGACGCGGCAGCCGTACATTTGAAGCGCGAGCTCGAGCACGCGCCCGGCAATCGTCCGCAGCAAGAGCGAGACGTGGTGCGGCGTGCCAAAGTCAAAGAATTTTTGGATCACGTAGTTGCCAAAGACGTCCGTCATGAGCGTGAGCGCGACCGGGTAGATCTCGGCAAACACAATGTCCTTGATGTCGGCCTTGGCGGTCTCGAGCTTCTGCTGGATGAAGCGCGAGCCGTGCTGGTCCTTGGCAAATTCGACCATGTGCCCGCGCGCGTCCAGGAGCTCCCACTTTTTGTGCTTGTTGGTGTTGCGAAACTCGTTGAGAAGCAAGCTCGTCGGCACCACCTTGGTCTTGTCCGTTGATCGCGTCTTCTCGACCGACGACGACGAGGATGAAGTTGATGGCACGGGCTGCGCCGCGCGCGGCTCAAAGCACGCTTCCTTGGGGTTCAACGCCATGCGCGGCTTGGTCATCGTCTCCTTGGCCTCGTTGTTGTGCTGTTGCGACTGCTGCGTCTGGTGGCGGCTGGAGGACGACGACGAGATAAAGCTCTTGGCGTCCGACGACAAGGTGCGCGTCCGGCTGTACCCCGGCGGGGACCCGCGCGACGACGGAAACTCGTGTTGCGACGTTGCCTTGAGGTGGCGAATGTCGGGATACTGGGCGCGATCGCCGCACATCTCGGACTCGCGGTACATGTTGTACTCGGGCTCGTAGCCGGACGGGTACATGCCCCGGGGCACACGCTCGTACATGGGGTGGTGCACCAGGCCGGGATGGCTCGGCGGCACACCGTAGTGCATACCGGGTGGCGGACCCGCGTACATCATCGGGTAGTACTGCGGGCTCACTATGTTGATGCGCGGCAGCTGCTTCTCGCGGCTTGCTGGAAACCGCTTCATGCTGTGCAAAAAGTCGGACGGGAGCTCGTGAGGATGTTGCTGCTGGTTGTTGTTGTGGTGGTCGCTGTATCGGCCGGCGCGGTGGAGCTCCTCTTCCATCTCAGACGTCATGCCATAGCCAAAAACGGGCGACGGCGTCCGCGGAAAGTCTTCTTGGATGCGATCGATTAGCGTCTTGTTGACCGGCCGCACGGACGACCCGCCGTGACTCGAGTCGGTCGGGGACGAGCAGAACGGCTCGGACTTTTGGTACGTGTGGCCCCCGGCGGCCGCGACCGCGGCTTCAAAGTCCTCCTGCGACGCTTTCGGGGCCATGCTCTTGCTGTACGTCGGTGGCGCATCAAAGTGCTCGGGAATCTGCACGCGGTGCAACGAGCTCGAGTGGTGGTGGCGCGTATGGTACTGCTTGTGCATCGACTCCCACGCATTGTACGACATGGGCAGGCGTGGGTTGTGCGACTTGGGCGCGTAATAGTAGTAGTACTCGGGGTGCAACTCAGCTTCCTACGTGGTGGTTAGCGGCGGGTCGCCCGGCGCTCGGCCTACCGTCTGGTTGTCATCGTACTCGCTCTGCGCGTACATGGGCGGCGGCAGGCGGCCCACCTAAGCAAGCAGCTAAGCTTCTCGTTGCGTCGAGCGCAATGGACCTACATGCTCGGCGACCGGCGGCGCGCTCATCGAGCGCTGGATGCGCGACCCGATCGCGTAGTTCTTGCTGAACTCGGGCTCAGTCTGCTGCTGCTGCTTGCTCGGCGGCTGCAGGTCGAGGAGCGACATGTCGAAAGGAAGCATCTCGTCCGTGGGCATGTGTCAACCTGCGGGGCGCGAGGCGAATGCGAGAATGATCGTGGCAGGTGCACCGGTGAAAACCTCTAGGAATGAATCTTCCTAGAGTCCGTATATGCATATCAAAGAAGCCCTGTCTTCCTAAGGGGTACGAAACCTGCGAGAACGGATATCGAGTCCGCCCCATGGAACAATTGCGCGTGCCCACATCTTGCTGTTTGTAGCGACGCCTCGAAACCGATGGGCGCCGCATCTGATTGGCTCGTTTGCAGAAAGGGCAAGCCAATCACTGATCGCGCTGGGTCGAAAGATCGCGTGCGCCGGCTCTGGGCAGCGCTCGCAGTGGCCACAGTAGCACGCTTCCTACGTCGAGTAGCAGAAAAAGGAGGCGCCCGGCGCATTGCAATCCCCGTTACCTTCTGCGGGCGCAGCTGTGGCCGCTTACAGAGAACGCTGCTTCTCTCTTGCTTGGATCGTCCATGGGCATGAGTTGTCGGTGCGAATGGTGCGCGCTGAGTCTGAGCAAGGCCGCTGTCGAAGGATGCAGCAAGTGCGAAACGGAGGTTGCTGGGCATCATCTCTGCAGGCGCCACGCACAACGATGGTACGACCAAGGGCGTTCGTGCCACTCTTTTTCCAAGAACAACTCTGCGAACGCAATTACAGACGCCATCACTGCAACACGCGGCCGCCGTAGCCAGCTCGTCATCGAGACAAATGGTGAGATCCTCCTGTTCCACAAGTCGCGAAACCAAGAAGCACGCCGGATGTCGAGTTGTCGGCAGACGGAGTAGCCTTGCCCTCGACCGTTGGCTCTCTACTCGAGCGACCTGATCCGGCCACGTCGTGCCCTGTATACTAGGGCGCGTCGTGCCAAGGCCGTTAGAGACGTGTCGCTTCGAACGCAGTGCCCAAATCAACATGGCGCCCAAGACAATGCGTCGCTACGATCGAAGGCGCGTCGACGACAAAATACAGCGTTGCAGAAGCACGACCAAGGACGACATACGCCCTGGCTGGACCAAGCTCGGTCCTGTCTACCAAAGGGCATGGGTTCTTGGCGGCGGAGATCACGACGGTGGCGCCCGCGAAACCGATGGCGGGCGTCGCAAACCCTAAACCTCGTCAAGCGATCGTCTGGCAGGAGGAGCCAGGAGTACTACACTAGCAACGAAGTAACTGGGCATGCTATAGGACCGAGCTGTCGTTAGCATTGGTAGTTAGTATGTTTGCTATCGACGTCGAAGGGCAGGAGGTGGCGGAGGCGCAGACGCCACGGCTTTTGCACATCCTCCTCCGTCATTTCTTTCTTCCTCCGGCCCACGACTGCGGATCAGCGCCGTCGAGGGCGAGTACCTTGACTATCAGCTTGCATCCTCCTATATAGTCGATCATCTCCGCCCTGCATGTCCCCGTTGCATATAACTCGTCGGAAGCAGCACCAGGCGTCGCCCTTGCCAGCAGCGACAGTGGCAACGGAAATAGAGTTATACATACACTATATCACGTGCATCGGGACGCGGGCCAATGGCCGGCCAGCATCATTTTCGACGTTGGCTTTCGGAAGACGACGGGATGGCAATGACGAGCTCCGCGTGCTGGGAAAAGGTCCCGCATCTCTCGCCGACGGACGAGCTCCAGATGCAGCTGGAGGCGGAAACGCAGCGGCTCTCTGCTGCCCAAGCCTCCGTGACGAGCAACGCCCAGGGCATCGACGTCGTCGACGGCAAGGTGGCCGGCGCCTTGTCCATCACGGTGCTCAACGCCGAGGACCTGCACCTCGATGGTATCCTTGACCTCTCGGACGACACGACAGTTGTTGGCTCGCTCGCCATCGCGGCCGCTAGCATTGAGAAGGCCAAGACCAACATCCGCGCTGCGAAGACGTCGACGATCCGGCTCAACCCGCGGGCGCGCCGGGCCACGTGGTTCAAGGCAGACCAAACGACCATCACGTTCACTGGCGTCAAGACCAAGGCCGCGTCGGTCACGCTCACACTGCACCACCCGTCGCCGCTTGTGGCCGACGTCTTCGTCGGCACGTGCAAGCTCACCATCACGGACGCAATGCTTGCCGACCAAAAGACGCACATCGTGTCGCTGCCGCTCGAGGGCCCGCCCGGTCACATCACGAACATCAGCTACGGCCAAGTACGCCTACCATTGCTGTAGCCGGCTCTTATACCATGTTTTTGCTAGGTGCAAGTCGCCATGCGCTTCGAGTACGACGTCGTGGCGCGACTGCAGACGTCGGTGCACGCTCTGGCCGACGCCAAAGCGCGGTTGGACGCCGACGCAGAGGTGTACGCGGCGACGGCGGCGCTCCTCCAGGCCGAGACGCGCCACCCGGCGGCGTACGGCACGGCGGCGGCCGCCTCGACGGTGTACATTCCTGGCCACAAGTTTTCGGCCGAAACATACCACCCGGCCGCGGTCGCCCGGACGCCGATTGCAGACGGCGCCAAGGTCTCGACGCCGTTTGGCAACGGGACGATCGTGACGTTCCGCGAAGCGACCAAGATGTACGTGGTGCTCATGGAAGCGTCGCCGGGCATGACAAAGCGCACAACGACCGCGTACTTGCGCACCGACTCGGTGTGGGAGGCGCCGCCGCCGTCGCGCTTCCGCAAGGACGTAGCCGTCACGACGCCGTACGGCAAAGGCGTCGTCGTCAGCACCCGCCCGGCCGACAAGGTCGTCGTTGTCAAGACCGACTATGGCACCTTGTTTCTACAAGAGAAGGACGTGACCGTCGAAGCGCTCACGGCCAAGACAATGACCAACACGGAGCGTATTGCGGCGTCGGTCGCCGCCTCGGCAGCGGGCAACGACCATTTCAAGGCCGCCGACTTGGTGGCTGCGATTGAAAAGTACCTCGAGAGCTTGAGCTACCTCAACCACGTCGACCAGGACAGCGCGAGCCACAAGGAGAAGGCGACTGTGCTCCAGACCATGATCCGCTGCCACCTGAACCTCGGCGCGTGCAAGCTCAAGCTCGGCGACTACAATGACGCGTGGACGGCCTGCACGAACGCGCTCTCGATCCTCCAGGTACTCTCGGACAACCGCCACGGCAAGGTCGCCGAGTGGATGGGCCGCATCGGCATGACGGAAGCGCTCATCTTTCAAGAGTGGCCGTCGAAGGCGCTCTTCCGGCGTGCGACGGCGCTCGTCGCCATGGGCAACGACGTCGAGGCTAAGCAGGACCTCCTGATCGCCGTCAAGCTCATGCCCAAGGACAAGGCGTGTCGGTCGCTTCTCGAAAGCGTCGCCAAGCGCGTCGCCGAGGCCAAAGAAAAGGAAAAGGAAAAGTGGGGCGGCTTCCTTCTCGAGCAGAACGCCACGGCCAACACCAAGCCGTCGACAGCCAAGCCGACGACGACAACGCCGGCAGTCAAGACGCGCGATCTACCAGGTGTCAAGAAGCCCGAGGCGTCGACGACCTGGACGACACCGACGACGCTCGCAGTCGCCGCGTCCGTGCTCGGTGTCGTAGCCATCACCGCCATGGTGTTGACCAAGCGCCAGTAGCTTATGTGTTGGGACGATAGCCTTCACACAGGGAACGAATGAAAGGGTAGACTTGCTTGTACGATGGGTTTGCGCAACCAGCAATACACAGGCAAAGCAACGCGGTTGCTCGTGCATCCTCGTCACTACGGTCAGCGCCACTGTCCTCTCTGCGAGGCCGAGGTGCACGTCAAATTGAGGTCCAATCTACGCTTAGCATACGACGCGTGCGGTCATAGCCTGGTCAAAGAGTCATGACGTCTCGGTTCTCCGTGTATAAATGCCAATGCTCTACTTCCTCGTCCGTGTGCGTCATGGCTCCGTCAACTACAGTCAAAGCGCAACTAGTTGACGCACACGCCTCGGCTGTGCATGAAGCGCTGCGTTTCATCGAGGCGAACTTGCTCGAGCTTGGTGAAGCTGCCGTCCTTGGTGACGGTACCGTACACGTGACACCTGCGCTGCCACGTCATGGCCTCTGACATCGTTGACGGATGAGTACCGGTAGCCGCAGGCGATGCAGCGCAGGGCAGTCGCCAGCACGAGCGCGTAGATACTCACGACGTAGCGCACGACGGGCACGTCGGCGTGGCTCGCGTACTTGGCGGCGGCGCTATCAACGCGGGACTTCTGCGACGTCAAGACCCGTCGGCTTTGCCGGAGCTTGGATGGGAAGACAAGCGAGCCCTACGATTCCCAGTACACGTGACGACGCCGCGTCGCAAGACCGTCCGAACGACCTTGCCGCTGACCACGTCGTCCGTGAAGGGCGTGATGAATATGTACCCTAGCATCGCCATCGTGCTCGGTTTGCAAAACCTACACGTATATGTATATGAGGACAACTTGTCCAACATAGTGCAGACACTCGAGATACATTTTGTTGCCAAAGCGAATCGCGGATGATTGGTGGAGCGGGACGCTTGTGAGCCAGCGCGGCTCGTGCATCGCTTGCAAAAAGGCATTCGTCGCACACCTAAGATCCATTGTATATGATAAACTATCGCAAAAGGAATGCCTTCACGGACCACGATGTTTGCACAAATAGACAGCGATACGAAAGCATACTCATGAGCACCGCGGTGGCCAACGCGGCGGCCGTGACCATACCAAGCGTCGACACCAGCAGCGTCAGCACTAAGGAAATATGATTTTGGCAAGCCCTCACAAACACATCTAGTGACACACCAGAGGTCACGGGCACATTGGGGTCGTACGCGCCGGCTGGAAGCTCGATTCCGTTGATAGATAGCCCCAAGAGCGCCGGTGGAGTGCTGTAAAAATCGTTGTAGCATTCGTCTTGCCTAGTGCGTAGTTCCTTCAAGAGGCGTGCATCGGGAGAGAGGGTTGTACAGGGGATAACAAGCACCGACGATGCCAAAGATGGTCAGCGACAGAAAGATGCGGGCCGAGTACGGCAGCACGCGTGTCGGGGTGAATGGCAACGGGAGTCGCTGGAGGCTGCCAACCAGCAGCACGACGCCAAAGGCGACCAAGACGCCGACTACGTACTGGGATCAACACGGTAGCTTTGTCTACAAACGACGTACGCAGAGCGAGCGAGAGGACCCAAATTTGAGCGCCGGTCGTCGTGCCAGCATAAATGCGGGCAACGTCCGCGTACAAGAGCGAAGGCAGTGCGCTGAGTACCATCGATGCGACGAGGAGCAGCCGCTGCTCCATGCCCGACAGCACATCATAGGTCAAGATGGGCTAGACAAAGAAAATGAAATGAACGATCGAGGAGCTACTCTACCTTGCGCCGGAGAAGACCAGAGAAGCCTTCGATCGTTATGTACGCATCGCCATGGAGAAGCAAAAGCGCAATGCAGGCAAACACCACCTACGTACGCTGGCATCAAGTGCAACGGTCGCATGAGGAACCTGCGCAACTGCAATCTCGTTGGCGTTGCTCACGTGGTTGCCACAATTCCACGTATTCACAATCTACGCACACACTGCTATGAAGCACATCACAAGGTACCCTCGTGTACAGGTGCCTGGGACTGTTTCCCAGCGCTGTAACCCGCGAGCGCGTCCAGATCTGGCGTCAAATCCAGAAACAGCGACTGGCAGTACGTCTAGAGACGCAGTGACTGACGAGGCCCCTTGCGATGGGGCTACCTCGACGGCATACCGAGGTCCCAGAGGCATGGCTTGAATGCGCCAATTGGTTGCTACAACCGTCGATCTACAATAAGAACATATGCCAGAAAATACGACCTTGGACGACGGGCGCCATGTCGCCAGTCACCGTCACGATTGCCTTGGTTGCATTCATAAACACTCTGCTCGTTGTGCCTACGTGCTGTGGTCTGGCATCGCTCTGGACGGCGACAAGACGGGACCGTACCGTCCGAATTGAGGTGCGCGTCGACCGCCATCATCTCCGAGTCTGCGATGGTCGTAACCAAGTACGCGCCACTCGGGTACGTAGTGGTGGCCTACACCGCCTATCGTGAGCACTTCGACGTGCCAAGTCACTTCACCATGGTCTCGAGCGAGGCCATGGCAGCAATCGCCTGGGCGCCCGTCGGAAGGCACTCGGGTGTTGGGTCCTCAGCGTATCTGCCATACTGTCGGACGCAGTGACAAACGACATTGCAGCGTACCCGGCTAGGAACGTGACGCCAAAGTACCCGACGTCTTTGGACCCGACCATGCACGTTGTGACCGACCAAGCGTCCGCGTCGGGCAGTGCCCACTGCTGTGCGAGCACGCTGCGAGACGAAGCCTGCGTCAACGTGGATCAGGAACGAGAGACGTGTACCGGCCAATGGCGGTCCATGCTGCCAGCGTCGTCACATTGGTTTCATTGGTGCTGCACGAGTCGGCGACAAATCCGTGCTGCGTCAGGACGCACGAGTTGCCAAGCGGCGCCCAGTCCATGCTCGCATCTAATGACATGATTGTCCATCAAGCCAACTCGTTGTCGTGAAAAGTACCTTGGTAATTTTGGGCCACCACCATGCGGTAGGCCATCCCTAAACGCGCGAGGTCGTGCCACCCTCCTATGCGACTCGAAGAGGTACCTTGGCTCAGAAGCGCCACGAGCGTCACAAGCGAGAGAAGAACGAGGCAGCCTGCGATAAGGTTGCCGACGAGGTGCACCACAATGACAGCGAACGACGGTCCTTTGCTCCCACGCTCCATGCTCGATTATCGAATTCGATCGACGAGTGGGGCGATCGTCGAGCGTCGGCGTTTCACGATTTGAGCAGCAACCGATGCGGTTGTTGACTTGTCAAGTATATATAACCCCTTCGGGTCCAAGTGAGATTCTGTATTGGATGCAAAAGGAGTCGACAGTACACGTCCCAACGTGGAGCACAAGTCTATTCGTTGTCGGAGAAGCGTTGCTGCAGTGTAACTAGTACATGGCGTGCTCGAGCGTTTCCTGAAACGACTTGGACGGCATGGTAGTCGTTGATGGTGATGGAAGCAGTGCGTCCAGTCGATGGTGCTTCAAGCGCCAGTACGAAAGCACATCGTCTTCGATCGCTAGCCACGCGGGCGACCACTGCACCACAAACAAAAGCCGGCGCACAACATCTTGGGCTGCGTCGGGAAAGCTAGCAATGTACGCCGTAGCTTCGCTCGTCTCGGTCATCGTCCCGCCACGCCGCATGGCCCACATTCGGTTGCGCTGCGTCTGAAAGCAGACACCGCCGTGAACGACGACGAGGAAGCCCGCGACATCAATGTCGATCGCACCCGATTGAAACTGGAGGCACAGCGTCGCCCACCACGCAGGCTGCCACGTCATTGCGCGCGGGCATATCGACGTCGTGCGCGTCACTGCGACGCCAAGGCGGCCGAGAACGTGGCCATCGTCGTGGCGCACGAGTGCGAACGACCCGAGCAGTCGCGACCGGTGGCCATGGCGTTTGGTGCCGCTGGACGTCAGCACCAGCGAGCGCAGCGGAATGGTTGCGGTTGCCATGTACACATTGTCTTGTAGCAGCGAGACGTGGAGCGCATAGGTTTGGAGCCGGGCGTCGGTGCTGGCGCCGTGGAGCGTAAAGTGCCGCTGCGTTGAGCCCGATAGGACGTGAAACGAGCCGGATGCAGGTAGCACCAGTGGCGTGCGGATAGCTAAGTAGCCAAAGAAGCTATACTCGAGCGAGAGCGTCGACGCATCCAACATCCCGCACACGGCAAATGCCACCGGGTCGGCAAACAGCGAGACCAAGGAGATCTCGACCGCTGTCGTCTGCGGGCTCGTATCCGACGGCGGCATGTCCATGCAAGATGGCGACACCACCTCGTTGCCGTAGCGCGCGGACACGGGCGAGGCTAGAGTCACCGCTGCGCGCAGCGAGGCCACGTGCGTACCCAGACGCGGGTCCATAAGGTGCACCAGTACCTCGAGCCGACCAGTAATCGAAGCGAAGAGCGGCTCGAGGGAGAGCGTCGCCACCGCTGTGAGCGTCGGGACGTGCGTCGTGAGCGCGTGCAGCTCCAGACGCACGTACGACGCTGCGAAAAAGGCGGCGTCGACGACAACTGCAAATGATGTGGCAAACGCCAGCGGGCTCTCGTCCTGAAGTCGCGGTGAGACTTGCGACTCGAACGCGCCGTAGTCGAGGACAAGCACATGTGGTGTGGCGCCGAGCATACAATCGAGCTGATCGAGTGCGATGCGCAGCTCGTTGGTATCTTCAACGTCTGATAGCGCTGGTGCCTGTGGCGTAGGAATGGCGGCAGGCGCCATGGGTCGTCCAGACCGCGTCCGTGCGAGAAGGGCCCGCTGGGCGTCGGCGAGGTCGCTTTGGAGATGCTGCAACTCAATCTCAAACTGGCGGCGCTGGGTCGCAAGCTGCATCTCCAAGTCGGCGTTGAGCTCCTTGTACGTGTTGGCGACTTGCTGCAGGCGCGCTACGTCACGAAACGTCGGCGCACTCGCGTCCGTCAAGCGCGCGAGCTTGGCTTCGAGATGCTCGATTGAACTACACAGCGTCACCTCTCCATCTCGATCCATTGCATTCCAAACCTGGCCGAGGCAGTGTCGAGAAGGAAGGGTGTGTTGCTCGGGTGGCAGCGCTGCTTGGTTGCAATCGCAAGCGCCGACGTAAAGACCGCGCTTGTGGTCGGGGCCCGGAGAACGCCAACTTGAAACGACAGCGCCTCGAATGCCAAGGACCGCTCCGCGAGCTCGGTGCGCAAACTAGCTTCGGCGTCCGCTTGCGTCTGAAGCTGCTTTTGGAGCTCGACCACTTGGTGCTTGAGCGTCTGGACCGTCGCATCGAGGTGTCGCGACCGCTGGCGCTCGTTGGCGACCTCGGCGTCTAAGAGCGTGTTTTGCTCTTCGAGGTCCTTGGTCTGAAGCATGAGCCGGTCGATGTTGGAGCGGATCGAGTCGTGTCCGAACGGCGTCGACGAGAGAGAGCCGACAAGAGCATGCAGCTGCAAACTTTCATTTCGCAGTTGACACACGTCCTACACGATCTTATTTAGTATCCTAGGCTATCGCATTGGCGTGTACTTCGCGTAGGTGCTGAATGGTCGCGTCTTTGGTGTTCGCGTCCGCTTCCACGTGGCGGAGCCGCGCACACTCGGCTTGCGCCGTGGTGTTGGCTGACAAGAGCGCGTCGAGCTGTGTTAGCGTCTGCGCTTGCACGGTCGCTTGGGCCTGGAGCTGCATTTGCGCATCTGCCAGCTTGGACTAGTGCAAATGTTCAGCACCAACGGTACGAGGTAGCCGAACACGTACAGAGACAAGACCGAGGTCGAAGCGGGCTCTGGTGGTTTCCGACTGCGCTTGTAGCAGCGCGCTCCGATCAACGAGTTCGGACGGCATCGTGGAGGCGGCGTCTTGGAGCTTCTCGTTGGCGTCTTGTAACAGCGCATTTTCCTGGCCGAGGCGGGCGAGGTTGGCGGCGAGCTCGGTCAAGCGGCTACGGAGGGCGTCGACGAGCGCCATTTGCGGTGCGTTGTTCTCAACGGTCGTGGTCTCGCCCTCGGTTTGAGTCGCCGACTGCTTGCGCTTGACAGTCGCGATGTGCTTTGCGGGTGCGCCCCCTGGCAGCTAGACGACGACAGTCAATGGTTGAGGAGAAGACTGCAGGTACATTTGTGAGCCGCAACTCGAGGCTGCGCACGCGGGTGGTGAGCGCGGCCTTCTCGTGCTCGAGTGACTGGACGTAGGCTACGCGAGCTCGCGTCTCTCTCTCGCGACTGTAGTCGTACCTTGGGGCCCTGCTGCCCGCGCGTCGGGTTTGGCCCGAAGCTTGGTCGTCGTTCTACATGGCGCATCGCGCTCGTTGTCTGTATGTCATCGACACCTACCGCTTGAGCTCAAGCTTGAGCTCGTGCATGTGTCGCTTGAGCTGCCGGTGCTCTTCGCCGAGCCGCTCGTACTTGTCGCGCCACGGTGGCTCCATGCGACGCTTGCGTCGGTTCAAGATCCAAGTGCGAGATGCTCGCATCGACGGATGTACGCGTCTCGTGCGTAGATGGCAGAGCAAGAAGATAGGGCAATCGCATGCAGTAAAGTTAACAGCGTCGCGGGCGCAGTAGTACGTTCAGCTGATGACGCCTTAGTCGACGTTGGCCATCGCGACATCGGCCTCGGTGAACTTGCCTTTGCGCTCGAGGATCTTCTTGCGGTCCTTATCGAGCTAGAGCTTGGTAATGACGACCTTAGACGGGTGGATACCCACGGGGACCGCGGCGCCGTTGACCTTTTCTGTCACGACACGCTCGGCGTGGATGACAAACTTCTTGCGATAGCACTGCGTCACGCGGCCCTCACGGTTCGTGAACGAGCCTCGGACGATCGTGACCTCGTCGTCCTTGCGGATCG